ACACACACACACACACACACACACACACACACATACATAAAATACTGTATCATATTATACTATACTACATATAGTACTACATTATACCATACCACACCACACCCTACCATACCGCAACATACTCTACTATACCGTTCTATACGATACAGTATCGTACAATACGGTAATTACATAACATACCATAACATACCCTACATTACCGTAATATTGAGAAAGAAAGAGAGACAAAGGCAAACGCAGTCGTCATCGGGGGGTCCATCCGGGGACTCCCCCGGTGCGGAAGTTCGTTGAGTCGTGACCCGGTGTCGGTCATGATCCCAAAACAGACCTTGGATACGCGCTCTACCGTCGAAACTAAAAACCATTCCGTACCATACGGTACCATATCGTACTATACCATACCATACCATATAATACGATACAATACCGTAACATACCATAAAATAGCGTACCATACGGTACCATACCGTAACATAAGATACAATACAGTACAATACCGTACCATACCGTATACTATCGTACCATACCGCATCATACGATGAAATAGCGTACCATACTCCACCATATAGTACCACACGTTGCAATACTGTACCATTCCGTACCATGCCATGCCATACATTACCGTACCATACCGTACCATAACTTACCATACGTTACTTTACTATACAAAACATTACCACAACGTATGGTATATATACGTATATATATAACGTACCATACCGTGCAGTACCTCAAAAATCCGTACTATACGGTACTATACGGTACTATACCATACCATTTCTTACTGCTCCGTACAGTACCGTACCATAGCGTATCATACCGTACCGTACGATACAATACCATACCATACCTTATAATACCATGACATAAGATAAAATACTGTACCGTACGGTACCATATCGTACCATACCATACCATACCATACCGTACAATACTACACAAGTCCGTTCAACACCATACGATACAATAACGTACCATACCGTACAATAACGTACCATATCGTACCATACGATATAATACCGTAACATACCATACAATAATGTATTACACCGTTCAAAATTATGTACCTAAAAAGCGCGTGAAGTAAGTGCCAAGATGAGCGTAATTTTTCGTGATGACATTTCAGTCTATTAAAGGCCGCGTAAGTTGTCCCCGCAAACAAAAAACGATATAGGTATGCAAATAGAATCTTGGTAGTCAAACAAAATAATTCGACCGTCTCATTCGGATTAAGCGAGCCCGGTCGTGTAAAAAATAGATGGTTCAACAAGAATTTGCGTAGATTATTGACAATTATATAAGAAAATCACAAAGATAGATACCCACTGCCTCTAATAGAAGATCAACTAGAGTTGTTACAGGGTGCAAAAGTTTTTAGAATTTTAGACTTGAAGAAAGGGTTTTTCCACGTTCTCATCGACGAAAATAGTATGAAACACGGC